TTAAATGGGCTGCTAACTGCAGTCCAGCCAAAAATTTTTTTTTTTTCAAATCCAGAGTCTGGCTTCAAAGCCTTGTCCTCACATCTGCCTTTCAGTAGCCCTTTTTCAAACAGCCATTTTAAAAAATGAGCAAAATAAGGAGGAAGGCTAAATACAACAGGTTAAATATGTATGGTTCCCTTTAATTGGAAAGGATGTTCTTTTGTTTATCCATGAAAAACAGACAGGGAGATCTAATAAGCAGCACACTAGTTAGTAGCAGAGCAGCGTAATAGCAGAGGGAAAACTCCTTGATACTCTCCGTAGTCATTGCTTCCCTCCCCATGTTACACAGAACGATGGGGGCTGCAGGTTTGTTTCTGTGGTGCCTTAGACTTCAGACTGTGTCAGACACAGGAAATGAAATGCTTAGTATAATTTTTTCCCTTCTCTAAGTGAACTAAGTGAATTTCCCAAGTCTAGCAGGATACTACATAAGAATCAGAATTTGTTAACCATTTTACACTTTCATTTTTTATTAGAATTACGAAATGTACAGCACTGTTTGTACCAATGCAGGCTTGAAATTTTAAAGCTGCCATAAATGTAGCTTCTATTTGCAGGAGTAGTTGTATGCAGTGTCATATGCAAAGATAATTATTTAGAGATAATATTGATGAAACATTCCTTATGGATAAGTTGGATAGAAAAGATAATCATTTCTGTTTGGATCAGGATAGTTTTGTTTAAGTTGCACAATTTAAAAATATTTTTAAATCAAGTTAATTTAATGAAAGATAATTTCATTGACATAAGCAATATGGTGAATTGCATATTATTTTAAAAAGTTAATATTTTGACCTCTTAAGAGAAGTTTTATGCTTGTAATTAAGGGGGAAAGACATTGTTTTTCCAAAAAAAAAAAAAAAGGAATGCTTTTCATTAAAGCATACACTTTATATATAGTATGGCTTGTTGTGACCTACCTTCAACTCGTTGTCTTGTACTTTTTTAATACCTCATACTCAACATCAGTTCTTAATTGTTAATAAGATATAGAAATTTATCAATCCATTCTCCACAATTCCATTTACATTAAATTTAAGGATCATTCCAGAAACAGGTATTTGGTGAAGTTTAGGTAAAAACCTAATCAGTGAACTGTCAGGTTATTAGGACCACCTTGACTTCACCAAGAATCCAAGACTTCTTATGTTGGTGATCCTCCAGTTGTAGAATAAATGCATTTTCTTTGTTTGGACCAGCTCATTCTAAATGTAAAAGTTATTGAAGAATAAAGTAGCCGTTCTTTACCAGTGTTATTAAACAGGAAAAAACGAAAGTAAAGTCATAGTTGCAAAATGTTATGTTTTATTTTGCCCGTTGAATTTGCTTTTTAAAAAAACCTTATTTTGGAAAAAAAATAATTAAATGATGAACTATTTGTTATCCAAGAATTATATATATGTTTTTCTAGTTTAAATAAAATAGTATCTATCATCTTTGATTATTACTGATGTTGTCATTCACGGCAGCATTCATATCATCCAAATTTCTAGGTAGTAATGTAAAGCAACCAAACCATTGTTCACTGTTATGTTGGAACCAAGTAATTCATCTTAGAATTATTCCTTTAAAATAAATTGTGTATGCTTTCTAAAACCAAATCATCTAGTTTTGAATATGGAAGGATATGTATTAAAGATATGAAAACTGTAAGGTACACTTTTTGGTATGAAATACATTTTATGATTTGAATCATAACTTAAATGGAATATTTGACCCAGATTCATTCAATTATATGATCTTTAAAAGTGCAAGTATTAATTTTGAGTGATAATTTTTATGGCCATTGTCTACTCCAGAAAGCTCAGTTTTTCTAGTGCAGACATCCCCATTAATGAAATGTATAGTTCTTATTTGCTTATTTATCTCCTACAAAGCCATGTGTAACTGTCTGAGATCGATGGATTGAGGATTTTCAAAAACACTGGGACCCTGATGGATAGGACATTTCCTATTGTTTAGGATTGTGTGAAACACATTTTTCTACAGATAAAACACTGAGATTTCAAAAAAAGAGCTAGATCACCTTAAAATGAGAAATGTTTTAAAGATATTTTTGATAACAAGAATTGATAAAGCCAGTGGAGTTTTGCAGTGTAGAAACTCACATTTTGTTCTCCTAGGTCTGTTTCCATTGTAGACAACCTGGCCATGGGGTTGCAGATTGCCCGGCTGCCCTTGAGAATCAAGATATGGGCACTGGAATATGTTATCGGTGTGGATCCACAGAGCACGAAATAACCAAGTGCAAGGCTAAAGTAGACCCAGCTCTTGGTATGTTATTTTCCTATCAGTTTTTGATTTGGTTAATGGGGAAAGTGGCCAATAAGTAGCCAACTGGGTTTTTTGATGTTGACAGGGTTTGTTATGAGTGTACCACTTTTTGAAATCATATGAGATTAAATTTTAATTTGTGTGAAAACAAATGTCTTCTCAGAGTATTTTAAAATAATATGAATTATATAACATAATATACATAACCAGCATAACAGGAATTGTTTGATCCTTACAGGTGAATTTCCTTTTGCAAAATGTTTTGTTTGTGGACAAATGGGGCACCTGTCCAGATCTTGTCCTGATAATCCCAAAGGACTCTATGCTGATGGTGAGTACTGTTACCCTCATATGTCAGAAATGGTGAATCATCATTCAGAGTTGTGATTTAATTTATACTCTTAATTGGTTCTTGAATAAGTTTTTGAATAAGTAGCAAAACCTTTATCTTTAGCTCAGCTAATGTCTTAAGGTCCTCACAGTAAAGTCTGTGATGTCTAAAGCTTTAAGGAGATTATTTGTTATTTGTTAATGTGATGGCTGGTACCGTCAGGTTCTACAGGAGAAGTCCAGTGGAAAGGCAAAGCTTTTGGAGTTAATCAGACCAGTCATAGCGCCAGCACCACCACTTAATAGCTGTGGGACTTTGGCCATCTTTAACTTCTCTCATTTGTTTTTTCACCTATACAACGGAGATTAAAGAACTGAATGTATTTCATTGATTCTGAGATGCACAGTTTTTCACATTTTAATATCTTTAAATTCAGGATGTATTTTACCATAGGTGTGTCACACATAATTGGCAGGTAATTTTTTTTTTTTTCTGAGAAGTATGTAAAAGAATGATACGTCTTATAATCAATCTGGTCTTAGATTTGATGAACTATGATATTTACCTTGAAGAGTTATGAGGATTAAAATATATTATTTCACTCAGGCTCTACAAACAGTAAAGGGGCCTGAGCCTGGAAAACGCTCAGAAATGCCTTTCAGCTTTGAACTTTTGAAATAGGTCATATAACATGACTAATGAGCAAAGATGGCTTTGGATCATCAACCAAAATGACTAGATATATATAGAAACAAAAGTACAGCAAAGGGAGTAGATCAAATAGAAGTGAGAGTTCAACCAGGTTTATATCCTATAGGGTCATTTTTCTGAGTAAGTCACTTAACGTTATGAGCATGATCATGATAATGTTTGAACATTATGCAAAAGACTCATTCTAGAAACTACATGTGTTATAAATTCTCGGTCCTGGAATGTTGCTTAAAGTAGGCAAATGGGCATTTTAATTAGGTTTAGGTTGCCTGGCAGATAGAAGGCACTAAAACAAAAGTTAATTTTCATTCCTTTCATAATTGCTCACCTCCATCTGACCTATACACCAGAGTAGTTGTTTCTAACCTTTTCGGTGGGGGTGGGGGGTAGGGGAGTGGTCATTGATCATTACAGAATTTGGTAAAACCTGTGGACATCTTCCTCAACAAATGTATCAGCACACAAATTTTGCTCACAGGTTCGAGTTCACAAACCCTTGCCCATCTAACCACGGTGAAGATCTAGGCTTCTGTGCAGTGGCTCTTGGACACCCCAGAGGACAAATGCCTTCCATCACATGTCTCTTCTCTTTCCCACTTCTCCCTGAAGGCCAGGTGCAAGAAATGGTGGGTAGTACAGTTTAGTGCTCTGTGAAGCCAAAAGGAATGGAGAGTGGACTTTTGAATAGGAATGGTGGCACCTACCTATGTTCCTGGCTCCAGCTAACTTTACAACTGACAAGGTTGTGAGGACCAAATAAGATATCAAAGTGCTCGGAGACATTAAAAGCCCTATGGAAGTGTGGGAGGTTTTCAGTGTCTTTATTCTTTTATAGGTGGTGGCTGCAGACTTTGTGGCTCTGTGAAACATTTTAAGAAAGATTGCCCTCAGAGTCGGAATTCAGGTGAGATCTCTGGGCTCCCCTTTAGAAGGGGTGTGATTAGTATTCCTCTGTGGCTTTGCTGTGTTTTGTTATTAATAACTCATTGAGGAACTACTGCTTTTAAGGCAACCTGGCTTCCTGCTGCAGTGATGACTCAATCATTTCTCTGGCAGTAGACCCAGCACTAACTGAGCATTAGCTACTGTTCTCAGGTGGAATAAAAGGTGACCAGTGAGCCCTAGAGGGTTTTATCAAGCATCTTATTTGTAAACATTTATATTTGCTAACTAATTTAATAATAGAGCCAATGTTGTTAAAGTATAGATTCACTAAGAGAAAAGAAATATGAAAATAACTTTCAATATTCTTACACTTAAGTATCACTGTATACGCTTTGCTTTATGTGTGCCTGAAGGATTAAGAGTTAGTTGCAAAAACTGCCAAATTAAAATTGTGTAATCCACACAGCATCTGGCCAGTGATATTTTTTTCCTAGTGAAAGCCTACCTTTGGTCATCAAAAACTTTATAAATCTTCACTATTCCTATTAATGGCAGATTTGGGGGGCGGGGGCAGTGGACACCATCACTGCATTAGTTTACCTGGATTATAATAAAATGATGCTAACCCTGTGTGAAAGAAAGTACAACAGTAGGATACCCTTAGTGCGTCTTAGGGAAAAAGCACATTTCTTTTTATTTCAAATAATCACAGTACTGTACAAATAAGTCTACCCATTCTTACTTCCTAACCCTAACATTTCAATTTGAAAACCAAGAATTCTTGTCTTTATTACTTTGTCATCGGTAAGACTGAAATGATGAAGAATTTGGATTCTCCCTCCTGGGAGGAGTGCCACTTCCCAGATGACAGGACTGACAAGCAGATGTTGTATAATTTCACAGGTGGAATCTTGTGCATTTAAAACTGATGCTTCCAAGTCTTGCTGTTTACAGACTCTGGGAATTCATTGCCTATAATAATGAACTCTGGGAAAGAATGAAAGCACTTTCTCATCAATTTGTGCATGGAAAGTAGTTGCCGCATTTCCCTAATTGGGATGAGAAATTGCCTGTGGTACTCTGAAATCAAGGGTTATAATCAATTACAGAATTGCTCACTTTCCTTTAGTGATGGAGTATTCCTTCCTTGTGACTATTCATGTCAAAACTAGTTCCTTTGCTAAACCAATACCAATCTAGGTGGATGTATTTGATTACTGTTTTTCTTACATTCTGACTTTTCTGTTTTTTTATAGATCGAATGGTTACAGTTGGTCGCTGGGCAAAGGGAATGAGTGCAGACTATGAAGAAATTTTGGATGAGCCTAAACCACAGAAACCCAAAACAAAGATACCTAAAGTTGTTAATTTTTGATAATGATTAGAGCTATCGTAAGTTCCCACCTCACTGTTACATTCTGAACTGGGCCTTCTTCTCAAGTTGGAGCTGGGCTCCCCTGGAGAAGCCAGTATTGTAGATATCAGTCTGATCTGGGGGCAGTTTCCTGACATCTGTCCATCAAGGAGTACTTCTCCCACTGCTTGGAGAACATCACTGAAGAAAAGCATAAGATGTTTAAATTGGATTATTTAAAAGAATATATTTTTAACAGATAAAACTTAGATGTAACTAAGTGGTTACATACCTAATTGTAACAATCATCTTTTTCTTAAAATCAAAGTTATGCATTAACCTGAACCACCCCTAAACAAAGGGTAACTGCTTTGTATTTGGAAATGAATTTTTTATTATATTGTTTTCTACATTCAAAATATCAATTTATTATTATAATAGAAATGTATAAGTTGCCACAAAATGCTCTTATTTTTAAAATACTTAATAAAAACACATTTGCTATTATTTTTCTGAATACCTAATTCTGGATTGAACTAGCCATTGTCCATTAATGTCCATGTAACAATCCCTTTGAAATCATGATCTTTTATGAATCCTAAATGAGGTTAATTTGGTTAGTTTTTGTTTTAGTTTGACATAAAGAACTACGTATTGTTGAGGTTAAAATTGAAGAGTACCTCTACTTAACAGCAGCTCTTTCTTTGCCCTTGATTTTCAAGAAAGAAATTCTAGCTAACATTCAGTTCGAGGTATTTAACCAGAAAGATGGTGCATAACAGACTGTATATCAAACGTAATAACATTTTGTTCACATGTTTTAGATGAATCAGGGTGAGAGGCAAGTATCACCATAATAGAGTTAGAACACTAATCAGAGACCCGTTAGCTTCTTTGTTTGATTTGATGAATACATGCATACTTAATGCATACATTTCACAAGGCTTAAGGTTCCCATTATACTGTATAATGGAGTGACTGGTGGATTGTGTTGCATTTGGAAGTTACCTGATTGGATACATTTGTAACTAAATGAAACAGCTGTGATTAGTTACTGATGTTTCAAAAGCAAAATATTTACCAAATAAGAAAAGGAGCACTTTTCTCTGTTTTAATGTCTGTACAACTCAGTAGTTCCAGTCTTAATAGAAGCTGTTCTTGTATTTTCAGTGAGAGAGGAAAACATGACAAGATGACTCAGCCTCCTAGAGCTTAAAGAAATGGGTGCCCTTGAACAGGAATTGCACAAGTCATGCAGCTGGAAAAGGACAGCAATGCTGCCTTAGTTATTTAGTCCAAACACCCCCAGATCTATTTTGTCCTATCAGGAACAAAAGGCTCTGGAGAATTGAAAACCTGTCAGCTACAAGTTAAGTGTAATATTTTTCATATAGTCTCCAATGCAGAGATGTTAGTGCCCATTTTGTCTTCATTGGGTTACTTTGTTTACATTTTAATGATTTATAAATTAGTGAAATCATTAGAAATAAATTTCAAGTACCAAATGTAACATTAAGAAAGTATATGGACACTGTCAAAGGAATTCACCAGAAACAGAAATTCTGACATCCTGAGAGATTGTGTGTTTCTTAAAAGGAATTACGGATATTGTTTATTTTCTTAGCTAAAAATGCCTAAAGAAAAAGGCAAACTTCTAATTCATTTATTCATCATCTATTTCCCAAGCACCTACTATGTTCCTGGTACTGTTCTTAGGCACGTGGGATTGTGGCAGTGAATAAAACAAACAAAGCCACATGCATTCTCATGGGGCTGAAGAATGGATAAAAAAATACATATCAGAGATATCAGAATACGTATCCAAAAAATAATAACAGAAAGGGATATTTTATTACATTTAAAAAATATTTTGTTGAATCCCCTAAGACTTAGTCATTAGCACTCTTTTCTTCCTTCAGTCCTTTATATCATCTCTTCTTACAAGCTTGTCTTTCACTTTTAAGGCTGACTCCTAAATCTGTACTAGCCCTGATAGCCCTGGTTTCAGTCCCATTTTCTCACCTGTCTCCTAGACATTCCTACTTGGATGTTACAACTCAAACTCAATATGGCTTTAAACAATCTCACCACCTCCCCCTGGAAAAAACCCAAAAGACTAATGTTCCCTTCTTGTCTTCATTTTTTTTTTTTTTCCCCCTACAATTACATTCCAAGCCATTAGGCTTGAATCTCAGGTTGCTCCTTTCTTGACATCTCCCCCCCACCCCCCACCCCATGGTCAGATCTCCCTTATTTCCTTTAGGCCTCGCTTTATAGTCAGCTCAATAGTCTTTGTATAACCAACCTTATAGGAAATAGCTCCTTTCTTATCCCAGTAACTTTTCATGCTCTTGCACTCTAAATTTTCTCCATAATTTGTATCCCTACCTAACACTATTTGTCCCCTTTCCACCAGATGATAGGTTACGTGAAGGCATGAATTTTGACTCACTCATAACTGTATCCAAGAAGTACTCAGCACATAAGAAGCATTCACTTTTGTTGAGTGAATGAGTGAACTAAATGAACAAATGTAAAGGGACTTAACAGAGATGATGCAAGCGACTATGTATCTACTTTAGATTGGATAATCAAGGGCAGATCTCGGGGAGATTTTTCAGAGCATTTAGGGAGGAAATGGTTAGTCAAAGCTAGAAAGAGAACAGGCTTGCCATCTTTGAGGGGCAGAAAGATGTAGTCTTATGACTGGCTTCCTTCACTTAATGTTTTCAAGGTTCATCCATTATCCATTTTATAGCTATCCAGGGAGGTATACAGGGGTAAGTAAGCTTTGTGTATCTTGACGTGCAGTAATAGATAAATGCAGTTACACTGAGGAAGGAGCATGCCTCGGTAGTTGAAAAGCAAAGGGGCCAATATGACTGGAAAAGAGTCAGGGATAAACTACTAGAAGATCAGATGGTTAACAGGTCATAGTTTATAGGTTCTACCAGTTAGTTTATGCTGCACACCAACCACCAAATCTCAGAAGAATACAATAACAAGCATTTCTTTAGCTCATGCCTGTGAGTCAGAGCTAAACTGGGTTTATCTGGATAGCTCTGCTAATCTCAACGGGGCTTGCTCACATTTATATGAGGTTTGGTTTGGGGTCGGCTGATCTAAGTCTGTTCCATATGTCTCTCTTCCTTTTCCTGGGACCAGCAGGCTAGCTAGGCTAGCTAGCCCTGACATGTTTTTCTCATGGCAATGGCAGACATATAAGAGGGCAAGTCCATTTGCAAAAACACTTCAAGCCTTTGGTTGCATCATGTCTGCTAATGGTTCACTGATGAGATACATGGTCAAGCTCAGAGGCAATAAGTAAATAGTGCACTCCATTCATGGGCATGGGGATGGTGGTGACAGAGTATTTCTGAAAAAAGAACTAATATACCCCATCGAGCCTTATAGACCATTATAAGGTGTTAGCTTTTACTCTGTGATATGCAAAATTGTTCATGGGTTTTGAAAAGAAATATACCATCTGACTGCTGGGTTGAGAGCAGAGTGAAGGGAGAAGCAATAACAAACGGAAAGGTTACGATCCAGATGAGAGAAGATGGTGTTTTGGATTAGGGTTGTAGTGGTGGAGTTGATTAGAAGGGCTCAGGAACTGATTGTATTTTTAACACCGAGCTGTAAGATTTGCTGAGCAGAGGTAGAGATATGACAGACTAACAAGAGGATGTATCTACTCTTAAGTGCTCTAAACTTATGGAGAAATCCTTCAACTTTTAAAAGTTATCCTGCAAGGAGGCTAACTTGACATTTGCTGGTTTGCCTTATGAGTTAAGACAAATCACAGAGTAGAATAATGAATGGCAAAGTCTAGGGAATGAAGTGCCGATGTAATGGTTATGAAAGAAGAGCTCAGTTAATAGTCTCTATCTCTGCAGTATCACATTTTGCAGGTACTTTTCGTGTGTGTATAGCAATAGATACTAAGTGGGTCATCCACCTTGAATATATGTTAAATGACACTAGTAAAGTAGTTCCTATTATGAAAATTGATTGGATTCTATTATGTTTTAATGTCTTCCTAATTTAAAGCTCTAAAACAGGTAATACATCTTATCAGATGCTTCTGACGAACAGATACCTGCTGGACAAGGAACCATCCCACACTATTAATCAACTAGCCAACTTATCATTTTTGATTTATAAAATTTCAAACAGAACATGTTTCACCTCAGCAGCCTAAAAATGTTCATGATCATTTTAACCAAATTGGTACCATTTTACAGAACACACAATGTTGCATATGGGCGGTTTTATGTTGCCTGTGCTCCTAGAAGGGAACAGAGCCACAGATGATCTAAAACAGCTTTTAAAGCTATTTCGATGCTAATCCAAATCAATGGTATTGACTTGAGATGTACTTTGTTTTTCAAACCTCTTCCTAACTGTATTTTGCTTAGACCAATAGTAAATTATTTTGTGTCCCGAAAGCTTGCAAAGTGTTAGAGTTAAGGGTGCTTAGAATTAAAAGTGGATCATCAAATTACAGATACTTGAAAGTTTACCGTTTAAAATATGCTTTTCAACCCATCATCAGTAGCATTCTCTATGAATTTGATACAGGAGGCTGCTGTCTCTTCAATGGATTTTGACCAGCCACCAAGATTTCCAGCAAAGTAAGGCAAGATGCTAGCAGAAATCTGGTTAAAATAAGATACCTGTTTCAAAAAGAAAATACATTATTTTAATTTCTTACTGACTTGGAGCTTTTTCAAGCAGAGAAATGAATGTTGTCGGTATAGCGGAGGCTAGAACCCTCTCCTCTTCTGGGGACCTTTTGACACATATCTGAAAGGATGACCTTTTTCTCCTGGTGTGGACACACTGCAGAATCACAATTAATTAGGAAATCTGGGTAAAAGATTCCTCCTATCGGCAGGAGAAAATTAACCTGCACATGTCCCATAAAACTCACAGTGCACGAGCTGCTGTCAGTAGCATGGATGAGAAATCCGGCACATGTGATTTCACTCCTGATGTACTGCAGAGAAGGTGGAACCGATGGCAGAATAACGGACTTCACTGCCACCATGTAAGTGTTACTGAAACATAAAAGGATATTTTCTAAGTTCTCATGATAAATGAAGAATAGTTGTTAGAAAATAAATTTATATAATATAATTGATTTATGTAGGTAGAAAGTGAAATTATGAAGAGACCCAAGTCTTCTAGATGAGTGTTCTGCATTAGAATACATTCTCCATGGCTACATTCAAGCAGAGGAAATAGTAATAAGGGCCACAGGTGTTTCCTGCCTAAGAATTATGTATTTTTTTGCAGAACTCCACAAAGCTGGCATCAACCTCCAAACTGGTTTTATTGTGCCCGAATGGGTTGTAATTTCAGTCTCTTCTCCTTTCCTTAATGAAAAAATAATAACCATTGTTTTAAAGAGCCCTCAAACAATAGCAACCCCACAAACTAGAATATAGGTTTTATTTCAATCCACCCTAGTCACAATGCACTCTCATCCTAGAGATGACCACGCTTGACCTTTTGTTGTGTATCCCTCTAGACCTTTTTTATAAATATATAACATTTATTTAAGTAAATGAACATTATAGGCTTTTACATAAATGTAATCATGTTACAAATATTGGTCTATAATTTGATTTTCACGTAACAGTGTATCTTTGGAGGTGTTTCTGTATCAGTGCCTCTGTAGTTACTTCACCATTTTTAATGCTGGCACAATACTCCATAATTTATAAGATGGAGCTTTAGTTTATTTCTAGTATCTTTTGCCATAATAAATGATACTACACTGAACATCCACATACATTACTATTTTTATGCGTGCGGGATTAATTCTGTAGCCTAGCTTTGACATGCGAAATGATGATAGCTAGTTCCAGGGGTAGACTGAACTGTCCTGGCAGCTTCCACTTCTTGTCTCTTTGAACACTTGCTCTTGGGACCCTTCTCCTTAGAACCTAAACACTGTGCTCCAAGAAGTCCAATGCCTATGGAGAAGCCGTGGACAGACACTGATTGACAGCCCTTAGCCGGAAGCTGCTATTTTGGATCGCTAGCACAATCGAGCCTTTGTAAATTCTAAACCAATTCCTGGTATTCTATTTGGCTTTCACTGCATTTTACTGATAATGGAATGTCTCAAAGGTTTGCTAAATATCAGTTTTGTATCTGCATAGAGCAAAAGGAAAGAGAGCTGCTTTAGGAATCTTGAATGGTGCTTTGCACACGGCTGGCATGTAATAGATGATTGTTTGGTTTTGTTTTTTAGAGATAACTAAAGGTGTATCTAGAAAAGTTCAGGGGAACATCATTGAAGACCAGAAATGCTTACATTGACTTCCTTATTTTCATATCAACTTTTTCTTTCTACTCTACACAATAAAACATTGCTATAACACTTGAATTTCATATACTTACCTATCTTTGGGAGGCTTTCTTCGTGATACAAGTACTACCAAGTCTTTGGGTTTGGTACCATTCGCTCTAGGACAAGTGATATAATATATCTGATCATCTTCATTCACCCAGTCGATGACTTCACAAGACCTATGTAAATAGAACAGTGAAAGAAAAGTTGTACTTTTCTACCCGATAGAATAAGGCATTCACTTCTTTTATTTGTTTGCACAACTTCATTACTGATGTCCACATTCACCCTTCTGCTCACATAATCATCCTTCCAAAGCCAGCATCATTTCTCAAAGTGTGTCATTAGAAAGCTGTTTGGTCAGAAGGAATAATTCTGCATGTGATGGAGAGAATGGTGGCCATCTGATTCTAAGGTCACTGCTCTCAATACTTAGAGAACGGCATTTAGCTATTTTCCACAAGATTATTTTTCTCTAGGATCAAGGAATATTTTAAAGACTAGTGAATTATATGACAGTCCAAGAAGAACTCGGTAAAGGAATATGGTATATAGGAAAGAGCACGAAGTTTGGAATCAAACAACTTGCTTTTGAATCTCAAATTGCCACTTAAATAGCAACTCACTTTGTTTTTTATCTGTAAAATGTAGATAGTAATATCTATGGGGATATTGAGAGAATTAAGTGAAAACACCTGGCAAAGTACCCGAATCATAGTAGGTGCATAAGAAAAGTAACTTGAATTAGAATGAATTCATTCATTCCTCCATTTAATCAAGTCGAATTTGACTAGAATTTCAGGTGACATAGAAAATAGTGGGAGAAACATTTGAAAAGAATTAACACCAAAGTTTAGGCATTGTTCTTGCTAAAAGCTTTGGACTTACAGAGAGTATCTACACATATTGATGCAAGAAAATTGTGAAGTGTTTCTTCTCTCGGAGTGTTTTATTATGATAGCATTAACCATGATGTATCATTCTGGCATCTGTGCAAATGTAACTCATAACCCCAGTGGTGCTTCCCTTTAGCGGTATTAAATTGTCTATTACATGCTATTAATCATAGTGAGGTTTAGCCATTTTAAAGATGAGCCTCTACCTCATCAAGATTAGGAAGTAAACGGTAATGCCTAATATATCAGGAAGCCCATCTCACCAATCCTTCCCTCCCAGCAAGGTGTTCTTGAGGCCCTGAGTGCTGGAGCCCAGGAGTCCTTGGAGAAGGGGGCATGGCCTGAGTGCAGTCACTCTGTCAGTGCAGTTGACAAGGTGCACAGCTCCATATTCCAGGAAAGGAGGGAGAGTGGAGGAGACTAAATTAGGGATGCAGGAGACAGGAAGTGGCAGGAAAAAGCGGTAGAGCAGGAAGGAATGCCTTTCGCCTCAGTACTCACACAGCTTCCTCTCAGCTTCTCACCAGGGAGTGCGGCTTGAGAGCAGAGGAGCGAGAGAGGGAGGGAGAGAGGGAGGGAGGGAGGGAGGGAGGGAGCAAGGGACCACCAATTAAATATCAAGAGTGGGAAGAGAAGAACAATTTGATAATCGCTTCCTCAAGAGCAATGAGGTGGTTTATTCAAGGACAAGAGTGTAGAATTCAGAGCCTGGGTTCCAATTTGGATTCTGTCACTTTATTGCTTGTTCAATGGAAATAATATCAAACTTGAAAAATGATTGGTAGGATTACATAGATATGGGGAAAGCATGTCAATATAGATGGTAAATTATTATAATTATTTTGGGTTTGTGTCTCTCAACACTTGATACAGTTTTCTGTGCACAGCAAGCTTTAAAAAAATACACATTAATAAAACAACATGTCACATGTTGGGCAATGGAGATGGGCTGCAATACGGAGGTCATCTTTTCTGTGATGTCAGGGTTGATTAAGAAAATATTTTAAATTTGTTCTTACACGTAATGGGGGTCCCACAAAGGTCGCTTCGTAAAGTCAGACAAGAGATGATAAGCCAAATGTGCTGGTTTTTCCACATGCTTTTCAACCCAAACAGATAAAATATCATGCTCTTCCAGAGTATATATTTTTATCTAAAAGGTAATAACAAGAAAACATACATTACAAAAGAAAAATGGATGTTTTTACTTTAAAAACCACAAACATATATGTAGTCATAGGTTGATGGTACTAAGGCATCTGGGACCCAGATAACAATGAAGACAAATGATGGCAACTTCACTTCAAATGCTTGAATGTGTAGAGCTCTGATCAGGACACTGTACTACTGTGTCCTCCAAACAATATGTGAATTGAGGGTGGGTTATTTAATTATTGTGTAACCGTTTTTCTCATGGAAAACAAAGAACGTACACCTTTCTCTGTGTATCTCTTTGTGATGTTTCCCTGCCTCATCAGGAACAACAGAAAATACCATCGACTGCTAGGCAAGTCAGTGCCTCATCTCCCCCGTGAGACCTTGGAGCCAAGGCTACAGCCTCGGCCACCAGCCAGGATGTCAGGTGTGCGTTCACGTGGGCCGAGGGGACCCAAGGGAGTAAGCCAACCCCCTCTAGAACCAACTCAGCCTCTCAGTGGGGCCGCTGAAGCACCATGTTTCTTCAGCACAAAGCATTCTTTCATTTGCCAGTCACAAGGGCACATCCTACTGACAGGCCAATTCCCAGGCTTCTTTCTAGAGCTTAGGTCAAAGGAGGCCTGTCTCGGGGAGCCACTAGACATGTACTTAAACACTGATGTATCCTTGTGACTCTGAACTCTGCTTCTACTGCGCTTTTGCCGATAATCAGCTATGTGTTCAGGTAAGAGCATGTTTCTAGCCTGCCCATTTTCTCCATCTCTTTCAGGGTGCTTTAAAGTTCGTGTTGAAATTTGCCATCTTGTAATCATTCCCATGGCAACAAGCTGCATGAAGATGACAGACAAACATAGGGTTAAAACTTCACTGCAGGAATCAAAACAGATGGAAAAAGCAGGCTGTGAGGGAGAAAACCTTTGTTTCAGTATAAATATCTTCAAGAAGAAAATGAAGAAATGAGAAACTGACCGAAGCAACTGAGAAAGGAAAAAAATGACTCTGCTATGCCATTTTGCCTCTCTAACTGACCTCAGGGCCAAGCCTGTCTTTAAATAGAGCCTGCAAAGGAGGACCTGCCTTGGGCTCAGGGCACTTATCTAACAGAAAGAAGACCATGAATGGGGGCTCAAGTTGGTGGCTGAGACTCACCCACCATAGACAAGGCTAACTTTGCCCCCTGGGTTGCAGAATTAGAAAGAGGCTCAATGATGTAAATTCAGAGGGAAGTCACCTCATCAAAGCTTGGTGGCCATGTGGCTCTAAGCCAGGTTGCTGGGGCTCTGCAGTCTCAGGAGGTGAGGGCAGGTGGCCAGGGTGCACTCCACAACCTCAGTCAGATTCTGGCTTTGGGACAGCCATGGTCTACCCCGGTGGAGCCAGGGTGCAGTGGGACATAAACTGAGCTGAGCACTTGTTAAGGGTGGAATTGTGCCCACCCACCCCTACCTCATTCATGTGTTAAAAGTCCTCACCCTCAGTACCGCAGAATGTGACCTTATTTGGAAATAGGGTCATTGCAGATGTAATTAGTTAAAATGAGGTTATACTGCAGTAGGGTGGGCCCCTAATTCGATATGACCGGTGTCCTTATGAGAAGCGGAAATTTTGACAAAGACCTGCACACTGGTAGAACGCCACATGGAGGTGAAGGCAGAGATCAGCTGACACACACACAAGCCAAGGAAAGCCAAATGTTGCCAGCAGACCACCAGAAGCTAGGGGAGAGGCCGGGAACAGATTCCCTCCCTCCAGGACTCAACCCTGCCAACACCTTCAGCTCCGACTTCCAGCTTCCATAACTGGGAGACAATACATTTCTGTTGATTAAGCCCCTCAGATTGAGGTACTGTGATGGCAGTTCTAGGAAACCATCACAGCGCTTTTCCAGGAAGCCGCTCCCCAGGTTGCAGACACATGCTGCTGCTTCCTATCTGGGAGCCAAAGCAAACAGCAGGCTGAGCAGCCATTAAATTCTGCCTTTACAGATCTCTCCAGACTTGCCTAGCGCCAGCTACAGCACTGGATGACAGAATGATATTTTGATCCTTCCCCCAGAGGGTGAAGGTAGCAGAAAGTCCTCGTTGCTCTGCTGTCAGAATCAGTGACACTGATGCAGACGGAGCAGACAAGGAAAGGCAGTGGGTTGGTGTTTGCTCTCCTTAAACCCTAATATTTTAGAAAAGCCATCTTTTGCTTAGTGAAAAAATTCTCCAAGACCAACTCTCCAAGAAAATGAATGTTCTTTCATGCTGGGAAGAATACAGGTTAAATTCCATTTGTAACTAACTCAAACATTTTACCATTTGGTACCTGGAGAATTTTATTGTATGAAATGGAGCTTAAAGTAATTAGGCTTAAAATCTGCCGGAGCTTGCTAACATTTTATGAATGATACATATATTTTCATACTAATAAGATTCTGTTTAATGGGTTTGGATGTCTTATATAAATATCACAAGAGGAAATAACTCAAAATTTTAGAAATGTATACATCTGTTGACAAATACGTTATTGAGACTACATTGTGAGGAGCATAAACTGGTGTTTACAGAGGCCTGGGAGGTGGATACCAGGCGGATTGCCTCGGGCTAAGGGAGGAGGCTTGGTCAGGTGGAGCTCTGGGACCAGCCCCTTCCCAGCTTCAATGAGAACAGCCGCCTCTGTAATGTTGTGAAGATTTTGTAGGGTATCAGATGGACACTTGTCTTATTAGGGAAAACACTCCATGGACTGTGTAGATGTGTGACCACTGCGCTGTACACCTGAAGCTGAAGCTAAATAATATTGAATGTCAACTATAATTTAATGTGTGTGTGTGTGTGTGTGTGTGTGTGTATTGTCACAG